TTGCTTGATGAAACACCACATTTACATTTAACCAGGCGGAAGCTCAACGAGACAGCCGTGTCTGGAAAATGCGTCCAGGAAAATATATAAAACTGGTTTTGCCTTGGGCAATGCGGTCTGTGTAAATGAGGCCTAGGTATGGATTGTATGCACCTACTGTGCACGCTCACTGTTGCTAAGCGTCTGCACATGCAATAGATAGAATATTCCAATGCTGCACAGACCACGCACGGTATCAGATTTTTAAAGTACGGTACTCTATTTCAACATCGCTACCATCAGCCATTGTCTATCTACTGCTGGATGAAGCCCTCTGTCGCCATCAACATCCCTCGTTGCCAGTGTTGCTACCGTGTTCACCTTCATTACGTGTACATGAACGTATATCTTATTCGCCCCTTGCAAAGTAGCCAAAGCAGAATATCCCTGGCTTCAATATTCCACGAAGCTTATGGGCCACAAACCGCACAAACCATGGCAGATGCGGCCACCCAATGATGCACAAATGGAAACATCTTAAACTCTCCAGCAGTGTGCGACTGTGGTCACACTGAACAAGGCCATGGAACATATAACGTGGCGCAATGCCCGATACACAAAACGAAGGAGGAGGCATTATCACAACCATACACTCTGCTACTCCTGACGCGACTATCTGTCTCATCAACCACCACAATGTCAAATCACACTCGTTGCTCAACAAAGGAGTAGCAGGCGGTGGTTGTTGACCTGTTCTTTGGCTGCTATTGTCACCAGTCTCATCCGCAGACAATCATCATCTCATATTGGTGTCGAAAAGCTGGTGTACGTTTATCGTGTGAGATGTGCAGTGACTGCTGCACACAAGCCGAGCGTTGGTATTCACAAGGCAACGGCGGTGTGGTTTAAATCCTCCCTCAAGACGCATAATGTATCTCTCCTCTTGCTTGCGGTTCTCTAAATTAGATTGTCTTCTTGGTTTTCCCTACCCTTGCCCGATAATACGTTTATGTTAATTTATAGTGCTTTAAATACCTGCCTGGTGGAAAGGGGCTTCATAAATGCAATTGATTAATATTATTAATACTGTACTTTACATAATTATCATACTGCATGGTATAATGTGCAGTACATATCGCTGTCCACGATACAATTCAATGCTGTGTAAAGGCCTTTTCCACGTCGTCATATCGGTCATGAGGGTTGGTGTTGTTTGACCATACTTAACCACATCAATCACTCGCCACAGATTTAGCCGTGACCGGGAATTGAACTCGTGTGGCCAGGTTGATAGCGCCACCTCTCCCTCCATAGTGTATATTCAGGTCTGTAACAGAAACAAGCACTGTCATTTGAAGGACATTATAACTCTTGCTTGTGTGTCAGACGGAGGGCTCTCACCAATAATAACACAAGGCAACCGATACCAAATGTGCTTATTAGGCTGTGACTGCTGATTAAAATATGAAAGCCCAGAGGTTGCCTGCTTAAACAGCTCCTGCAGGGAAATATTTGTCCAATAGACTAAAATATAATTGTGTTTTTTTTCTTCCTGTGGCGAAATAGACTCCTATCGATATCTTTTTCTTCTCGGTAGCTAAAACTCCCATTACTGCATGGGGGTTGAATGCTAAGATTTATAAAACGCTCCAAAATGAGACACCCCTCCCAAACCTGTACCTGATGTAAGTAAAGCAGAGAATTGTGGTTAAACACACCTACTATACTGGATTATAAGACGCACCTAGTTTGCCTTAAAATATAAAGACATTGTGCATCTTATAATCTGGAGAATACACCAATTCTTAACGTGTGCCTCTTCTCAAGTACAATCAACTATCCTCAGACATTTACGTGTTTGTATTGAATACTGCCACGGTATTACGGTTAGCCTACTGGACTTTCAATCCAGAGGTGGCCGATTCACCAATCAACCTCTTTGCGCGGCAAATGAAACAATTGAATTGTTTCTCAAATTCTCCCCCAACCCCACCTCGGCCCACCCAGTATAATCTTTCGGCAACCCGCTTGTGGTGAGGTAAAGCGTGGGTACTCCCAGGGGACGTCTAAGGGCTATCTGACCATGGATTGTGGTAATGATGATGATGATGACTCCCACTTCTAAAAAAAACATTGTCGATTCGTCCGCAGATGAAAATACTACGGTTGGAGAAGCATCATCTTGGTGAGATATTTCACTCCCGACAATTGTTTGGACATTAACTCCCACCTCTTCCAAGATGTTTTACGGATGTGAACGACAGATAAAGTAGGTCAAATGCTCTCAAAAGGAGGTCTCTTAGAGTCCCTCGAGCGAAGACTCTTCCGCTGGCAGTGACGCGAGCAAAGTAATTTCAGAGGTGAAAATTAACTTTAAAAAAAATATCTATTATGGAAAACATTCTTGATCTTAGTCACTGCTGACGTGGCAACGCGTGGCAAGTCACGGTGAGTGCGCTGCGTGACCGCGTGGGTTTTGTTGTTTGAGCCCTGGATTGCGCTTCGGGATTGTCCCATCAATCACCTGGCTCGCTCTTCTGGATTGTCTTGCGTGTAGGAATGGGTGGCGTCTGTCTCTTGGTCGTGTTGGCACCTCCCAGGCAGACTCGCGTTTGCCGCATTGGGTTTCGTTTAAAGCCCTTTGTCCAATCCACTGCTGGGTGAAGGCCAGGAATACAACTTGGGTCGTCGGGTTCCTAGAGCAGTGCGCTAACCACTGGACCACCACTGCTAAGCCCTAATACTGTACAGTAATGGACTCAACTAGTATGGACTCAACTAGTATACAACATACTGAATATACATATACAAAGGATACATATATATTAGCACAGCAACATTCAGTACACCCCAACCTAATCCACATATTGATGGAAACAGATTTAACACAATGCACTTACAGGAATATTGAATCTCGTCTGCTGGTACAGAAAACATGTTCTTGTTTAGGTTTAGTTGTACTTTATTTTGGCATGACTGTTTGAAATGGCTGGTCATATCTCTATCCTTTCCCCGAATCGCGCATTGAGAAACCTATTGTTATCTAGACGCTGTATAAGTCACACTTATTTTTAGTCGTTTCTTAATCCTGTCGGCCACGCGAATTGTTTGACCATACTTCACCGCGCCGGTCAGTGCGGGTTGGTGGTGGGCTACCAGGGCCGGTGCAAGAGTTCCATTATTCGCCACTTGCGTTATAGCCACGGTCGGGAATCAAAGTCAGGTCACAGAAGTTCACAGCGCAGATCTGGGAAGCTCAGCAGGTTGTGCGCCTGGGTGAGTGACCACGATTCACCAAAGGCAGGCGTCGTAGGCGTGCGTGCAGTAGAGGGCAATGCAGCTAATCCATTGTTGTTCTGAACACTCCAACCGCACCTTCGTCATCACGGGGTGTGTCACGCGTACCATAAGCTCGTCAACACATGCCTGCCTACCAATGTCCTCATTCGCCGTTCCCAGGCCCCATGAACTCTCCCGAAACCAGGCACTGCTCCAGGGACTGTCCAGTACACTCCCGGTGGGATGGGGGATGGCTTCTGGGGATCGGGAGAAATGGAGAGGGAGAAGCGACCCTTTTATTTTAGCACGACCTTGTTTACAGGAAGGACATACAAAAAAAAACCGTAGGGGGTGTTGGCACATTTATTGTACCAACAAGTTTTGACTTGACTGTAAGAATTTTAAAAGCAGGGTATGAGCCTTCAGCAAGGGGCGAGGTGGGGGGCGTGGGGGGAGAAAGGCGGGTTCAGCCCCCTATAGCCATTCCTCCCCGACGTTACGGGATTGGCAAGAAGTAGCAATGTTGGTGCTGGTAGTGCGGGTACTAGGGATAGGGCCCCAAGTAACTTAAGATACCCCTGATTCATAACAAAAAAAATTAGGGGTGTTCAAATATAATCTCAAATTAAATCCTACTAAATAAATATAAAACACTGATTAATACAAATAGCTAATTCACCTCTCCCCCCCCTTCTCTCGTCTCACTAGATACATGTTTTTGGTCTTTACTGACTTCTCTCGTCTTGCCACATCCCCTAGTCATCTTGCAAACATTTTATACGTATGATTTCGTCAATTGAAAGTCCCCCAAAACAATGTCTACATCTCTATTTTATGTCATTTAACTGAGATCGTATTGATTGAAAAGGGGGGGCCCCCCAATCTCTCGGCACCACCACTGTTGATGTCACCGGTTAATAGTTTGCTTGAGACATTCTGCTTGGAAGTGTCGGTCTGAAAAGCCAATCAAGTGGGCTGCTGGATTTACAAAACAATAACAACAATATATAAGCACGGTGTTTATTTATTTGTAGAGGCACCAGAGTTCTGCTTCTTGTTTGCTTTCATCCACTTGCAGGTCACAACCTGGTGGTGGTGTTCATAATAAAGGTTTTTGGGTTAGATCGGGTTATTTATAAATGTGTCGTAACCCTCCACCACCCGACACGGCCAATCAGCAAAAAAGTGTCACGTTGACAAAATACAAATAGTTCAATACTTTAGCCCACCGGTGTGTTGAAGAGTGAATCCACAATCATCGGACAATTCGCCAGAATTCTTGCCAGAATTCTTGCCAGAATTCTGGCGAATTGCCCGATGATGCTGGATGTAATTACCAGCGAAACGTCGTACTCAAACTGTAAATGTTGTGGATTCACTCTTCAACACACCGGTGGGCTATAGTAGTGAACTATTTGTCTTTTGTCAACGTGACACTTTTTGTGCTGATTGGCCGTGTCGGGTGGTGGAGGGTCACGACACATTTATAAATAACGCGATCTAACCCCACCAAAAAAACCCTTTATTATGAATAATATTGGTCGCGAAAGCCTACGTGTTAAATTGGTGGTGGTTGTTGTTGTTCGTGGTTGTTGGCTTTGGTTGTTGGCTTTGGTGGGGTTGTCGTTATCGTTGTTGTTGTTGGTGGTGGTGCCGGGTGTGAGAGTGGAGCGGGGAGAAGAAGCCGCAGGCGGGGTGAGGGGTGGGCGGGGCCAGGGGTGGGCGGGGCGAATGTCGGATGCCTCCCCGGGTCGCGCAGTTCTGACGCAACCATCACCACCACCACCACCGGAGTCCTCGGCGTCGGCGTCTCCGCTTCTTCTTCTACTACTACTGCTGCTGCTGCTTTCTCGACTACTCACAGATTGTGTGGCGGGGTGTCTACGGTGATCCGAGTTCTTCATTACAAGCGCCGAGAGATACATCCCCGAAGATGGTGTCGTGGCTCATCTCGAGGCTGGTCGTGTAAGTCTGCCTGCAACAAGCGGCACCAGCATCATTCAGCGTGCGGTGTAGTATTACGTTAACATCACTGCGGCGGGACTTTGCGAGATGTGGTGGCCTAGGCTTTGGGTTCTTCTGTTTTCTCCTTAGCAGTGCGCGCGTTCCTGTGCGTTTCGTTGTTTTTTTTTTCCTCCGAAACGAGGATGAGAGACGTGAAGTGAAAACATCGGCGAACGCCGATCGAACGTTTCGTCGGCGCGATACACGGTGGCTACGGGTCGAGCGCATTGTCCACTGCGGGAGGATGCGCGCTGCGTCGAGGGGATGGGTGGTGTGAGAAGTAAATATACACATTTTGTGACTCGTTGTACATAGGGCCCCCCCCCCCGTTACAAAAAACGTCGCTCGCAATCGCCAGTGTGGATATGCCGTGCGGCGTGAGTTGGGAGTGCCAAGCAGCTCGCCGGGTGGAAGGGGGGGGCCCTTTTCTCTCGTGCCATTATCGGTCACGAGAGATGTTTTGTTTGAACCGCACTTGGCCATGCCGGGTCGGTGCGGACCGGAGAAAGGAGGCGGGGATCGATGGATGGATGGATGGGGAGGGGGAAGAAGAGGCCGAAGACCAGACGGGTTCAGACAACGCTCGCCACAGATGTTTTACACGTGGGCCCTGGGAATCGAACTCGGGTGGCTCTGGGTTCACAAAGCAGAAGCCCTCCCCCACTCGATTGCTGTGTCACCACTGCCCCAATCATACACGTGGCATGTAGTTTATGAATGCTGTATTGTGCATTCGATCGGAATAACATGAAACTGCAAACTTTGTACAGTACATACGTATACTGTTGATGTTGGTCATACACATGTTAAACACTATAATCGAAGTAGTTTGAAACAGAGTTTTGTCTTAGTGCCAAGGGTACACGTACTCTCAAGTACTCTTATTATTAAACAACATACGAGTGCTTGAGTCGTAACTTAGCAAGTCATGGCTTGTTTGTTTTGTGTGCCATTCGTGATGGATGTTAGGAATGCATGGAGAGTAATGTGCATGGTTGGCACAATAACATAGATATGTGACGTAAACATACAATGGGTGTTATAGGCTAACGTTTTGAATGCTATTAACCCAGCCTTTCTGACTTGAGTTCTATTCCCAGCAATGGATAACATTAGTGACTAGTGATAACTGAACTTGTCTCCTTTCACCAACCCGCATTGGCTTAACGTGAAGTATAGTCAAACGCCCCCATGACCGCGACACGGTTTTGGGAAGGCTTTCGTCCAGTGGAGTGTGGTAACAAAGAGTTTGGTGAAGAAACTCACGTTATATATACACACACACACGATATACTGTACATCAGATTGCATTGCTGACATGACATGCACGTTTTTGTTTGGAACCTGACATCGCCAGGCATTGACAAAGGTGTTTTTTTTCTGTCGTGAAAGTTCATAATCGTTTTAAAAATAAACTCTGCCAACAAATGACGCGTGGCTCTATAATGGCAATGAGTCAGCACGGCCACAACGGCCATCTGTTTGGTGGGAATTTTGTGATGATTGTATTTGTTTAGATTGTTTGAGACAAATAGATTACAGTAAGTAACGGTTGAACGTCGAAGTTATACAGCATTGTATTTCTCAATGTGGATAAATACTTTTTTTGGGTGGAGTAATTTTGATGGTGCAGTGGTTAAGTAGACAATGCTGTTAACCTGGCAACAACCCGAGTTAAATTCCCAAAGTGGCCAGTGATGTCTGCTTCAATCCCTCCCCCCCACCTTTAACAATTGGCACTAACTAGCGTGGTGAAGTATGGTCAAACAATCCCATGACTTTCACATGGGAAGGCATAAATCCGGTGGTAAATTTATAATTGGCTGTGTATTCACTACCATGTAATACTCGATTTGTAGTGAACATCTAGTTTATTATTTGAGCTAACATTCGTCCACAGTTTTGTGTGCCGAGTTACATCCCTGGCCACGTTTTTGGTTTGTCAACAGGAGTAACATCGTCGTGATGAAGTTCTGTTCAACTCGAGCCATCTTGTCATGGTTTAGCCGGGCACTTAATCTCATTGCCCCATGTGCTGAATTTGCTTTGGATTGTGGAGTTGTTTTTGAAGCAGTAATGGAAATTACACATTTCTTTGGCAGGAAATATATGTATAACTTTACCTCCCAGTGGTACTCACCAGGTGGCCCGTGCAGGCCAGAATTTGTAAAATCCTTTAGTTTTATGCCACTCACACATGGGACAATATCTCGATCCCAGTCTTCAATATGCCTTGGTCAAAATGTACGTGTTTTTGGAATGTTTTCAAATCCCTGAATTTCTGGAACAATTTCCATTTCACATTTACATATTCATTTTAAATCCAATATAGTGCTGCATTTTGTAATGCTTTTTTTTGTACTTTTCTTGTATTTTTTTACTCATGTCTCCTCCTTGAAAGTCATACTTTTAGTCTCAGCAGGCGCTTAGCTGATTATAAGTAAAATACTTAAATTACAGGAACAGTAATAATTTGACTGACCCTAGAAGTACGTACGCAGTACGCCCAGGCTGGGTTCTCAGGTATATCAGTCAGGTAATTACAACCAAGAGTTACACATTTTGAGTGGCCACTCTAAAAATAAACATTGTGTGGATAGATCAAAACGAAGCTGACAGTTGAATTGACAAAGGCATAGTTTTATTAGACTGACATGTGAATCTGTGTCAAAACACATTGACGCCACGATATACCGTCCGTTACATTAAAAATCACAAACATAACAACACACTTGTGTTATGTTTATATGTGGAATATGGATAAGCACATGACAGTAGTGTACCACCCACAGTCTGGTGATTAAGTGCAAATATTAATGTTGATGTCGTTATACATCACGGAATTCAAGGGACTTTAGACATATTTGTAATTGTTCAGACAAGTATATCGGTGGAGTACCATTTATTTTGATATTCGTCATAATTGCGTGTTTCTATGCGAATTGTGCTGTTTGCGTCGCCTATGGCTTTAGGCATTTTATGATTGACGTCACTCCGGTGTTGTTGCAGTTAACATCTATAAAACTAAAATATTGTCATGATTTTTACACAGTTTTTGTCAGCTTGAAATTAAAGACATTGAAGGACTCAACTAAATTATCTCCACAAATAGGAAAATTAATGACATGCAAATCTATTTTTTTGGGCCTTTCAAGGCGTCTCCTCTCCACTAAAATCAAATTCTCGTAGTCACCGCCCACAGCGCAGAAGGCTTATTCAGAATGTGTCCGCTCTTGGGATTCGCGAGCCCAAAAAAAAACGCTTGTTGAACTGGCCACCATTCTATTGGGTTAGTTTGAAGCAGGCGCTTTTTTTTCTGTGTGCGTACAGTTCAGTGCTAGGTGTAAATCTTCCTCCCCCCCCCTGTGTGTGAGAAGCATGGATGTGTGGAAGCAGTTTATTTTTTTTACCCATAGAAAAGAAAACATTGCCGTACAGTGCCTCAACAGTGAACAAAGAAATTTACTTTCAATTTCCCGTTGGAGTAAAAAAAAAACTCTTCATGGTTGCCTGGCATGTGGAGATGGTGTTTTTGCAACCACACTAATTACAGACAAACGCACCCTATTACCCGCTACTCCTGTTATCCGCTGGAGACGTTGAGTCCGTGAAAACTCTTACCAGCGGCTATATTTTTCGTGTTCCCAATTATTTGCGAAAATTTTTTTTTGGGCATGGTTAAGTGGAACAAAATCGTCGATAACATCGCTGATAATCAGACCTGCGTTTAACACGTTAGGCTTTCGCATGTCCATTAACTTTTGGTCTGCCCCATAGTCGCCAAGATTATGGAGAGTTGCGTACTCTTACTCTTTGCGAAGGTGCTTGCTCTGCATAAACCTTGTGGCCTGTTTTTACACTGCCAGAGTGACATTTTTTACAAGCGATTTTTTTTCTTCCTTTTATAGGCAAGCCCTGTAATTTTGTCCAGATGCCGATTGGATTTCATGACCTTTTACGGTTGATGTTAGCTGCTTTGCTCGACAAGGCCAACAGGGTGGAGACCATTGTCAAGGAAATTATCTGAACAAGTGGCACACGAGACAGTGGGACATTGTGTATTGTTGAGGGGGGCTTAAGGTGGCACGACAAATATTATTCGGTTCGGAATCGATGGTGAGCTGTAGCATGAAAATAACCTAGCCTGCACCTGTGAAAAATGTCATTTACAATACATTAGGAAGTGAAAAAAGGCAGTTACTATTGCTTTGTTATTTTTCAAAAGTTTGATAAATTTTGGTAAGTGAAATGTAACTTATTACAAGATCATGTGTGTGTTTTTTTTACATTATTTAAAACACTGTGGCATGTTTGGAGTTCCACTGAAATGTAGTTAATAAATATGTATTTATGTCAGGTAAAAAAAAAACATGTAATATTTATCTTACTTTTAAATAATTCATAATATTGATGTACGCAGTGCGGCAGTGGTGAGGACATCTGCGGTACGAACCTAACTTCCTGAGTTCACTTCCCGGCCATGGCCAATAGCGGGGAGTGATTTCTGAATCTGTCCCCGCTCTCCCTCCCTTCACCACTCGCACTGATCAATGTGGTTGAAGTACGAGTTTGAGTTCATTAAGTTTCAATTTATTTGATGTGTTAAATGGATGATCACATTTGGCCGGTTGACTGGCTTTTTAACAAGGGAGATTTGTGGTGCGCGAGTACAGCAGAAATAAAAACACAAGACAAAAACACCAATATTGCAGAGAAAGAGAACCAGGGTACCTTGCGAACTAATAAAACGAGGTATTTAACGGTATGGTCCAACAAAAAAACTGTAATAGACACAGTATTGGATCCACAATGTTGATAATGAATGGAATTATTTATCACGTGTTTTAAACAAATAAAACTGAAGGCATATGAAGCCTTGTGCCTGTAATCCAGAATTGTTGAAGATGCGTTGAGCTAGTGTGTAAAATATCCAACTCTAGGGTAATTAGACACATGTTTAA